AAATCCAGCCTCTTTCCACTCACCTTTCTGGATTTCAGAGGCACCTTATTACAGTAATCCATACATCAGTTGGTACAGCAAGGACTTTGAAGATCTTGTGGCAGCTTTCCCTGCCTTACTAGCAGAGCTGTGAGCTTGATAACTAATCACTCCTTAATAACTCGTGTTTCCTCTGCAAAAGTCCCTGAAATGCAACTGCTGGGGGAAAATATATGAGCAGGGATTTGTGAAGTAGAAAAATCACTTTGGGCTTCTTTCCCAGTAACCCAGAGGGTTTTTTGAATGGGGGGTGGGGTGACAATGAATGCAGTTCTATTTCCCACATGCCCAGACCTTGCAATTGGGAAGTGATCCCTGGTAGTGTGTTTCAGACATATCCCCAGATAATGAAAACAAAACACAGATTTGTTGAAGGACTCTCTGGTTTGGCTGCTACTTGAATTTTTCTGTAGGAATTTTCAAAACCAGGTATTTTTCTCCCAGCAATGTTCCCCCATCCTGGCTTAGACATGGGAAAATACCATAAGCCAACAGATACAACTATATATCTGCTCAAGACTTTGTCAACTGTAACTCTAAAATGATTTGGGTTGATGAGATCTTTATTTCTGTGGTGGCACAGGCTCTTTGTGAGGTGACACTCACTGAAACCACTTTTCTGGTCATTTTTGCCAAATGGAAGCATCCAAGCTGTTGCTGGATCAAAAGGTGAGAACAGCCCTGTGCCCCTCTGTACCTGATTGCACAGGCAATGATTTGCTTAGGGGTTGATACATTTATTGGGGGAAATCCTCAGTATCATTTATTGGGGCAAATATTCAGTATCTCCCCCATTGCTGAAGCCACACACATTTCCATGTCCCATTCCTCAGCTGCAGCTGCACAGCCCGTCCAGACAGATGAGAACTGCATCTGCCAGGGCAAGCCAGCCCTGCTAACCCAGAAACTTGGAGTATTCAGCCTGGTACACACACAGCAAAAAGGCATCTTGGATAGCACATGCTGCAGCTGGACATTGTCTCTTTTTTGGCCAAAACCAGAAAGGCTCCTAAGCAGAGGTATTTTGAGCATTCATAGTTCACTGAGCTATGATTTGGAAGAGCATCAGCCATGCAGTGTTATCCAGTACATGCCCTGTTTTTCTCCTCCTGCTTCATACATTTTCACTCCTCTTTAGATTTCTGGGCAAATACTGTGTCTTGTGATGACATGAAAGAGCAAGGCCTTTAAGTCTTTATTAATTGCTACCACTGTAGTTTTAAAAGGAGCTATTGAGGAAATCCTCAGTTTTGTTACCATAGGAATGAAGCTGTAGGATTCAGTGAAAGAACAATTTAAACAGCAGTGTTTAAGTGATTCACTTCAACTTTAATTCTCTGCTCCATCCAAGCTCCTCTTGGCTGTAAAGAAAAAGACTCTAAAAGCTCTCTCCCCTCCTCAGTGCTGCTTGACTCCAGCCCAAATTAGGAGGTGCAGCCTTGTTATCTACAGCAGGTCTTAGCAATGTCCCTTCCCACCCACAGAGCACTTCCTCCTCTTCCCCAGTGAAGCAGCTGCAAACTGCTCCTTGGCTCAGGCAGAGCTCCTCATCTGGCTTTTTTCAGCTGTTTTAAAACAATGTTTATGCAGCTTTTATACAGTAAGAACAGGGTGAATGGAGGAGTATCTAGTGCAGTGTATGAGAGCAGGTTGGGATGCTTGTACCTGGTGAGTTTGGCCATTACTCAGTGTAACTCTGGTCTGGGGGAACTCCTGTGTGCCTCCTTCTGAGCTGGTTTTGCTCTTCTTTTTCTATCTGAAAGGTTTAGGTCTACATTAAGTAAAAAGGCAAAACAGGACAGGTGAGTTGATTAGCCAGGTGAGTTGATAAGTCATCCTGCTGGTCTTCTCCAGCAGGCAGGAGGAGACAAGGCAAGGAAGGAGAGCAGTGCTATTGCCCCCTGTTTGTTTTTTTTAAACGTGGAAACTTGATAAGCAGCAAGAAAGTGGAAAGAAAGAAATGTTTTGTTTTCCCTGGATTTTACTCTTATGTTAAATCTCTTTTGAGATATCTCAAAATTTGAGATATATAGATGATATAGATGCTATTTGATATAGATGCTATCACTATTTAGTGAGCATATGTTGAGATACCTCTTTTGATAGAGATCCTATCTCTATTCAGTGTATATTTTGATAGAGGTGATAGAGATGCTATCACTGTTCAGATTTGTGAGCAGTGTTCTGGTTTCCCACCTCACATTTGGGAGAATCTTGGGAGGGACTGCTTTGTACAACAGGGAGTCTTTCACCCTTAAAACAGATGCCTGGCATTAATGGTGAGACTGGGACCTTCCTCAGCTCTCAGTAATAGTAACAGGTCCAACAACTTCTGTAGTGCCTAAGGGACAGCTCCGGCTCTCCACACACTGTCCTGGAGCACAGCACTTCTTTCTCCACAGCTGCTGTGACTCCCTGACCCAAGCTCTGGTCAGGCAGTGGGAGAGGAGCCTCTCCAGGACGTTGCAGAGCGTGTCTGGAACTCCACAGACCCTGTCAGGTGCTTCAGCCACTTACAGATTAAGAACCTAATGCCTGGCTCTTCCTCAGCAATGAGGATGAGCCAGGAAAGCAAGCCAGTGACCGTATTTTGGCATGACTTTCTGGCAATTGCAGTGGCCCTATTTATCACCCAGAGTCTCCTTTTCGTTGCATGTGTGCTCCAGCACTCTGCCTTGTGCTCTTGCTTCTGGAGTCTGGCTTATCTTCCTGCTGTCTGGCCAAGTCTGCTCCAGCAAGCCCTGACCACAGGGTCCTGTCCCCACAGCTGATCACAGGGACAGGGCACGGTGTGGTGACACCAGAAAACACACTATTGACACTATTCTAGCAGGGTACTGCCCACCAGACCCAGCTGTCTGGAGCCTGCTTTGTGCCCAGCTCTGTTCCTAGCAAAGGTGTAACAAACAGCACTTGCACAGCTCCCACTGTTGTTGCTGTTGGCTACGGGCAAATAGGTATTTTCAGACACCACCCCCCTCACACACACACACACACACACACACACTCTTATTTCTCTGCCGTTGGCCAAGCTGTTGAAACTGGATCCTTTTATGGGAATGTACAAGAGGGGTTTTCATAAGCAAGCTGGAGATTCTGGAAGGCACAGTTCAGGCTCTGTTCAGGTAGCTGACAGTGCTCTGCAGCCCTTCCACCCCAGTAAATTCACCCTGTTGTGCTGCCCACTTATTTGTGCCTTCATTTCCACACAGGTTGGCAAATATGGTCACAGTCAAAAGAGGGGGGACCTCATTCATATTTTATGTAATATTTCCTTGTATCTCAAAGGGAAAAAAAGGAGAGAGGAGGAAGACTTTGAAGGACTAGGATGTTTTTATTGGCTTTCTGTTTCTTCTGTCTCCCACCCAGTTCCAGACTACAGAAAAACATCTTTACTATTTACACTATCCTAGTATATATTGAAATCTACCAAAAGGATACAAGAAGTAAAAAAGACTTTTGTTGATCCTGTGCTGGTGTAGCATTTTAACACAGCACTTCAAAGGTAGTTTTGTATTTTTTAAATATAAGCTCTCAAACTATTAAGAATATGAGGGAGGGTGGATTCCTTTAGCATTTGTTTTCCTGCAAATATTTCAATGTTCTCTTGCATTATTTTGGATCCAGCCAAAAGATTGGAAAACCACAGAAACCATCAACTGAATGTAAGATAAACCAAAAGGGGAACCACTGAAGTTGCAAAACTTAGGTAGGACAGTGAAATATGGATACAAAAGAGGGGATGGGGTAAGGGCAGCAGGGAAGAAGGCAGAGTTTAAACTTATCCCAGTATATTATCAGCATTCCCTCGGGCATTCTATTCAAAAAGGTGGAATTTAATCTGCATTGCCTTTGAATAAGCAGTATAATCTCTAAGAACTTCTGCCTCACATATGCCTTTTGTCCTGATAGCTGACAGAACTACTTCACTGATAGTGTTCTGCTAAAATACCTTCAGGGTAAATGTGCTTTTATAAACAACCCATTCCCAAGTTACTGAAACTGTAATGCTTTTATAGGACAGAACCTTGGCATGTGTAACATAAAAGTCACTTTGGGGAACTGGAGCTGGTTGATGGCAGCTGAGTCTGCCTTAATGCTCTTACCAGGACATCCTATCTCCTGCCTTCTCTTGTGCAGATTTTTTTTTTTCTAAAAGAAACAGTATCTTACAGTTCCCAAAGTGCCACAGGAGAATGATTAGGCTCAGTCTCCTCATTTCCTCATCCCTGTGGTGCAGGGACTTGTTAGAGTGGTCGTGGAACTGTCAAGTTAATGCAACACCCCTGAAGTACCTGAGAGAGATTGCGAGCCTCGCACTGCTCCTCATCTCACCAGAGGAAAGGCTGTCTGCACAAATGGGTTTTTAACATTTATGCCTCCCCCTTGTGTCTCTACCACATGAAATCGACAGACTATGTTTATTTCTCAAAAGATCTCTACAAATGCAAACTTTACACATGGTGCTGCCTTAGATTGCTGGTAAACATGCAAATCCAGGAGAGCATTGAGAACAAAACTTCTTTGAGTTGCTGAGTCTAAAATCTCCTGTGGAAATCAGCCAAAATTACGACTGTGACAGAAGTCATCTAATAGTTAACAGAGGATAGGGAGCATAATATCCCATGCCTCCATCAAGCACAAGCTCAGAAGAGACATATTGAATATTACTAATTCTGTTCCACTGGAGAAGAATAATGTTTCCACTCCATGAGAAGTGGGTTTGATTTGGGAAGTTTGTTTTGGTGTTGCTGAGCTTTTTCTTAAAAAGTGATAAAAATACATCTATTTGGTAGAACCTGGAGAAAATAGCTCCAAAGAAGGGAGAATTCCTGGCCTGATCCCAACCTCCCTGACAAGAAGATCAGACATGTCCTTTTTTTATGAAGAGTTTATCTGCACAGAGGGAGCAAAAAGTTACCCAAAGACAAGCAGAATTAAAAACCAGAAGTCAAACGTACCTGACTTGCCCACGCCAGCCCGACCGAAGATCGCCAGCTTCACTTCTGCACTCTTGGCCATGCTGGAAGGAAGGCAGTGGTGGCAAACTCCCTCAATTACCAAAAGTGAAGCAGAAGAACTGTTCCCAGCTCCTGCCTTCAGCTTCACCGTGTCATTGTGACGTCAATGCAGAGCCTGGGGAAGAGCAGCACAAGGATGGAACTGCAAGGAGCCAGGCTCTCCCCTTCCCCTGCACACCCCCTCCTTTTTCTTCTCCTTTTTAAATAATCATGATAATTGATGCTCCTGCTTTAAGCATTGCAGTAACACCACTGTCACATTTGGCACTCTTTGTGCAGAACCTACCTTCAGCTTTCTGGCTATTGCTTCACTTCACACTGGCACTGTAAGACTGCAAAAGGTACTTAACAACCCCAAGCACCTTGCAAGGCTCCTGATTATTTACTTCTTCCTTTCTCTTTCAGCTGAAATTGCATCTATTTACTGTATTTGAATCATATGCAAGGAATAATTTTTTGTGGACTATATTTAATAGCTGTGAGCTCTCACTAGCAGTGCCTGCAGATAGCTACTCTTTCCTTGAGCCCTCCAGCTCCAGAAGGGTTTCAATTACTCAGCAGCAGCTGCCCTAAAACCTTCTAAGCACTTGTACCTTGCTCACTGCCCTAAACAAATCCATACCCAGAAAGTTCTCTAGCACTCCTTTTTAAGCTGCCTCAGCTCATACATAAACATTCAGCAAAGCACGGGGTCAGCACAAGGATGCCAGAGTTCCTGGTACTGCACTTTAAGCTGGGGAATTGTCAGTGCTCACGCTTTTGCTGCACGACCTTGATTTGGCTGACCTGGACAATGAAATCTATAACCATACCTGTCATTGCAGAATGCTTTAAGATCTTCAGTGACAACATAGCAATTGTGATGATGGTGGTCCTCAGCCCTGACTAAAACCTCAAATACTCGCTCTCCCCTTAAAGCAGGGTAGAACTTTACGTGTGACTGCAACCAGTGACGGGTTTGCTGCTGAGCTGAAGCACCCGCTTTAGCCACGAATTCTAACAGTGGCGTAGGATGCTTCCCATGTCAGCACTCCTTACTTACAGCAAAATGCATTTCTAACGTGTTGTTTGGAAAAAAAAAAAAAAGGCGGAAGACTCTTTCCTATCCGAAAACGCTAGTGAAAAGAAAAAGTAAAGACACCTTACATCGAGAAGGTCCCGATTAATCTCTGACGTTTAAATGCTCCTGATTCCTAGCGCTTGAGAGTATCAGACCACTCTCAGTCAGCACGGACAGTCCGAACTGTTTCAGGACGTGGCGGAATGGGATACTCAGGGACTCGGACACCGGCTCTGCCTCCCATGGAAGCTCCCGACCGCCCGCACCAGCGCTGCTGCCCCGCTCCGCAGCTCTGCTTCCCATTTCCCCGCAGCCAGCTATCGATTCCTCACCGGCAGCTCCGTCCCTCCGGCCGGGCTTTGCTCCGCACCGCTCCGGGCAGGTGCGCGGGGCGGCTCCGCGGCTGCTGCCCCACAACTCCGCATCCTCCCTTGTGCCCGCACCCGCGGTGCAGCCCCGCTCCCCATCCTCCCTCGTGCCCGCACCCGCGGTGCAGCCCCGCTCCCCATCCTCCCTTGTGCCCCGCTCGGCCCGCCCGGCGCTCACCTCTCTGCTGGCAGCCCGGCCCGGCCCGGCCCGGCTCGGCCCCGGGCGCTCCCGGCGGCAGCGGCGCGGCCGCACAATGCGGAGGGTCCGCCCGCCCCTCCGCCCCTCGGCCCGGCCGCGGCTCCGCAGCGCCCGCGGACCTGCCGCGCCACCTGCGGGCCGCCGGAGCAGCCGGAGCCGGGAGGGAGCGATGCGGAGAAGAGCGGGAGGGATGCGGAGCGAGAGGGAAAGATGCGGAGAAGAGCGGGAGGGATGCGGAGAGGAACGGGAGAGATTCGGAAAGATGCGGAGAGGAGAGGGAGGGACGCGGAGTGAGAGGGATGCAGAGCGGGAGGGATGCGGAGAACAGCGGGAGCGATGTGGAGAAAGGAGGAAAGGACACAGAGGGCGGCCGAGGTGCCTCCGTCCCCTTGCAGTATCGTCCCGGAGCGTAACCCGTGCCCAGCGCGGTGCCCGAGAGGAAGGGATGCAGCCCTGTAATCCGGCGGTGCCGCAGCCTTTAATTATGTGGGGCAGCTGCTGTTCGCTTGCATGGATTCTGGGTAAGCGCTTGCCAAGGCTGCCCCGCAGTTTATTTTAGCATCTCCTGCTCTCTGTCCCTCCCTCTCTCGCTGTGTCAGTGCTGCTCGCCAGTACCGGCCTGTGCCGCCCTGTCTCTCCCGTCCCGACACAAAGTGTGCCAGCAGGGCTGCTGCCCCATCCGGCTGCTTTCCAGTAGCACCAACTTTCTACTCTGAGCTTTTCCTCCCGATTTCCACACTTGGCTTATGGCAAAAGAAATGGGCAGAACGAATCATGTAAATGCATCAGCCTCTGCAAGAGGTTTGTGTCAGAGCCAGGGATCAAGTTCTGAAATGATAGGACCGACAGCTCTGACTTCCTTGTTTATTAAACTACCCAGTAATATAAAGATGCATTAGTAACAGATGTGAGCCAGAGCTGGAAAGCACTTAGAGTTCAGTGGATGTTCCTTCTCTGTTTCTGTTCCAACTCAGATCTGAATGAGATACCAGATGAGTAAAAGAAAAAGCTCTCACCTCACTGTCTTCCTTCATGCAAAACTAAATTAAAGTTGGATTGGAAAAGATCTTCCATGGTCCAAGTCTTTCTACAGGAGCAAGATAAGTGTTTAGGGGGCAGGGTGGCAGTCCTGAGGAGAAATGAGAACCTAATTCCCCCTAAGAAGTGCCTGTTGGAGGCACCCAGGAGCAGATCTTAAAATAGTTGCACTGCAGATCATGGAAAGGCAAAAAAAATTAGAAGGAAGATATAAAGCAGTAGTGTGGTTTATGCTTTACTTCTTAAAAGCAAGGGCTTTAAGCCTGATCTCACTGCTTGGTTTGCATAATTTAGAGTGATTAGTTTTTTCCATCCTCCTAAGAGAGCAACAGATATGTAGTTTGCATCTGGGGAAATGTGTGTTGGTCTCGAGGCCTGACATTTGTTTTGTGTCTATGGAATTCACCCTGCATGGGGCTGTCAAATTAAATAGGATAACTGGCTTTTCCAAAACACCAGATAATTTATTGGGCATTAAAATCCCGGTGGCTGTGCAGTCAGCTTGTGCTGAAGTCTCTTATTGGGGAAGAATTCAGTAAACATTAATCATGGACACAGGCAAAGGTTTCAGAGGGTTGAGACCCAAGACTGGTCCAGGAGTGCTCCAATTGCTGTTTGTTTCCTGTGTACTCACTGTGTTTCATAATGCTGATGAGGTTTTGGGGGTTTTTTTCCTACCCAAAATGGATTTTGAAAGATTTGGTCTTTCATCCTGTGGATCAAGGGCCACCTTGCTTTGTCAAAAGCAATATTTTTTGGTTGTTGTGGCTGGCATAGTGTATTTTCTCCATGGTTTTGCCATCTGTGCTGATCAAAAAATGTTACGCTGGCACTGGTATTGAGATCAATGAGTGAAGTCCATCATGTGGCTGAAGGATGGGGGAGGTTTCTTCTCTGCCTTTCCATTTTATGAAAATTTGAGAGAAGGGAAGCAGTGCTGGGGTCTGATCCCTGGTGGTCTGTGTGCTGTCAGTGTGAATTCAGCCTCATCCAGCAGAAAATCTGGAGAACACTCTTTCCCATCCATCACAGCCAAGTGTCTTAGATTTCTCCCTTCTGCCTCTTGGTAGTGTTTCATGTAGTGTTTCACAACTTAATTATTTTTTGAAAATAGCATTTTGGTGTATTTAAAAAATATTATTCTTGTTTCATCAGGAGAAAGAGTAATCCCAGAACAAGAAGATAGAAGTCTTATGGGAATTACTGGGTGAAACAATTCACTCCTCTTGGTACACTCCTTTTCTGCAGCTGTGGGGGATATTTCTAGTTTAGATCCCTGCTATCCAAACCTGACTGCACCCCTTTTTACTTAGGAAGATGCCAGCAGTGCTCCACAACAAGAATTTTGGTTTATTTCCTGTCTAGCCTGTAGTCAGAGCTTTGGACTTCAGTCTGAGCTTTGGACTACCCTTCTTCACCAGAAACTTTGATGGCTGAGGAGCAGATAATGAAATAGGAGTGTGAACAGCTTGAAATGCCAATGAACCCACATGTTCTCAAGTCAAAACAGAATGCTGTTTCAGGATTGATTAACAGAGGTCCATCAGCAGTTACAGTTGACAGAAGCATTTTAGAAACACTCACAATTTCAAGTACCACTAAACAAAATTTTACAGGCTTAAAAAATGTATCCAGGTGCTGCCAAAGCCCAGAGAGGTCTTTCTCCCTGGTCTGGAGGTGCTACTTTTTTAATGTCAAGCATTTCCACTGGCTTATTTTTTCATCCTGGATGCTTCTGGTGTGTTTTCTGAAGGTGTCTTTTGTTGTGAAAGCCAATGGCATTTGATTCCTGAAAGGTGGGAGAGAGGAATGGTGTGAGACTGCAGGTGTGGAAGCTAACACATGAAGAAGACCTGTGAGCAGAAAAGGAGCTGAAGTTGTGGGGTTTTGTTTTTTTGGGGTTTTTTGTTTGTTTGGTCAGGTTTTTTTTTTTCCTTTTAAAGCTGGAAATCCCATTATAGATGGCAATTTTGTAGGTTTCAACGACTTCCAAAACAAGATTTGGGCACGGGTTTTATTGAGACCCATGAGAGATGAAAAGCAAGACACAGATTTCAGGTGGTCATTTAGGAGTCTGAATCCTGTAGAACTGGGTGGAATTTCATCTCCTGAGCACCTCTGTGCAACTGAGTCCAAGTGCCTACAAACTGTAGAGCAGATCATGGCACAGGTGGCATGGATGAGAGAGCAGAACAATTCCTGCAGTAAGGAATTGGGGCAATTCCTCTGTGACAATTCCTGCAGTAAGAAAGGGGCTGTTGAACTCAGGGCTGCTGTCCTGGCTGCTGTTGTAGAGAACAGACCAGTTCTGCCATTAGGATTGGTCTAGAACAGAGTACATCTGGTCA